GATAGATAGATAGATAGATAGATAGATAGATAGATAGATAGACAGACAGCAAAACATCATCAGAGCAGGTACTCAAATTCACCGGGGAAGCCCCTTTAAAGCTGCCAACTGGAGTTTCAGATAGAGCAAGTCTCAGGCAGAATAGGACCCCTTAAGGTGAAACTTCCACATAAAAAACAGATAGAGGTAACATGATCAAAATCAGGAATTCACAGCATCCAGCAGAAACTGACTAGGGAAGTTGAGGCAGTCTGCTGGAGTTCCTAGTTGAGCTTTCTCTCCATGCCTGAGCTTCCCATGGCTGAGTTCCTGCTTTGCTTTCTCACTGCAGACACATTTATACTGTAGGGAAGACAACAGGACCATCTGGTGGTCAACTTCCTTTGCCTTCTAGCTGTTCCTGGAAGGCATGATGGTTTTACTCTTGAGCTGTTTAATACTCTCCTCCCTGTCACCGAGTTTGGGAGGAGGGAGTGGCCCATCCTCAGGCAAGTGGCCTTGGAGGACACTTTGAAATAAACACACTTGGGTCTGCAATAAGGCAGGCAAAACCCCAATTCCAGAGCTAGCTTCTAGAGCATACATTCAAACAGTGCATGAAAATTCACCAATATAATGTACAGCACAGCTATATTTGCGACATAATACATGACAGTTTTGATTAGGAAGAAAGAAACTGATAACAGTATTGTTAAAATATAAAAATTTGAACATCCTTGGGGAGAATATTCTAGGTGGGTGTTGTTCTCTGTTTCACACTTTAATGCATTAGCAGATTGTTTTTACAATGAGCATGCATTTTTATATGCACATGTTTTTACATCTGCTTTTATGCTGTAAAAGAACAAAAAGACCTATTTTCATAAGCAGAACCAAAACAAACAGCAGACTGGAAACTTCAGGTGGTAACCAAAGTCAGGCTGGCAGCAACCGCTCTCCTACTGTGCTGAGCAAAACATGGTTTGTGTTTATTCTTCAACAAACGTCGCCCACGTACCTACTCTGGGCCAGGTTCTTCTTAGGTGATGGGAAAATATGGATGAATCCATTTTAGTCCCTAACTTGTAGAAGTATGTAAGGAAATGTGTAAACGGATTTTTTCCTTTGGGCCGCCAGCTCACAAAAAAAAAAAAAAAAAAAAAAAAAAAAAAAAAAAAAAAAAGACGTGGAGACGTATTATTTATGAAAGCTCAACCTATAGCCTAGGCTTATCCCACTAGCTCTTATAACTTAAATTAACCCCTTTCTATTCATCTATTCAAGTTACCATGTAACTTATGGATTTTACCTCCCCTGAATGTCTTTTCCCTCCGCATCCGAGTAGTGACTCCTCCTTTCTTCTTCCCAGAGCTCTCTGTCCCCAGAAGTTCCACCTATACCTCCTGTCTAGCTATTGTGGTTCAGTTCTTTGTTAAACCAATCACAGTGACACATCTTCACACAGTGTAAAGAAATATTCCACAATATTTCCCCCTTTTGTCTAAATAAAAAAGAACAGTTTTAACTCTAACGCAGTAAAACTATATGCAATAAGAACAATTATCAGGTAAGAATTACATTCAAAATGTCCAGTACGTGTGTATTTGGCATATTCAGAGAAAATATTCTATTATCTATCTTATCTTGATGAATTTAAAGTCTTATATCTAAACTATTTTTATCATAACTTGTATTACCAACTTAAAACTATCTTTTTTAGACGTCAAAACATTCTTTAGATAAACAATTTAGCTTTTATGCCTCTAAATCTTATACATTTTACACCTCTTTAATGTGTTTCTTTTCTGAATTTGGTAACAAGAAAAACTGTAAATCTATAACTATCTAGTCTTCAATCTCCATCAGAGACCAGGAAGGATCAAATAGTACTTGAATAAACAGGAAGTTCAGAGAAAGCAACTTCCAAAACTACAGAAATGGCAGAGACATCTGGCTGCCTGGACAGTCACCTAAGGTTCCTCTGTAATGTTGAGGCATCCATCTTCAGCCTACAGGCCTAGACTATCTGACAGACTTTTCTTTTTTTTAATTAAGAATTTTTTTATTCATTTTATATACCAATCACAGAGCCCCCTCTTCCCTCCTTCCACCCCTCCAGTCTTCTCCCACCCACCATCCCCCCATTCCCTCCTACAAGAAGGCTACAAGAAGGTAAGGCCTCCCTTCAAGGTTCTCCCAAGCAGAACCTGATCCATTCAGTAGAGGCAGGTCAAAACCCCTCCCCCCTGCATCAAGGCTGTGTGAGGTGTCCCATCATAGGCAGTAGGCTATAAAAAGCCAACTTATACATGGATCCTCATCTTACTGCCAGGGGGCCCCTTGAGCAGATCAAGCTACACAACTATCTGACAGACTTTTCTGTGAGGTAGGAATTTTGAAAAATTGTGCTACCTTTTCTAGGCAAAGTTCAGCAATTGCTTTCTTTTGTGTCCTGCTTATCCAATTTGGACAACATATTGTCAGCAGGTGAGGCAAGGGTAGTTTCTTGCCCAGTGGTTAACTTTTTCCACAAAGAAAGCAAACTCCATATGGGGGTTCTTCAATGCCCATCATCCTTTTTCTGAAGGAAATTGATGCTGCCAGGAGCAGACATGTCTCACTGTCATGAAAAGCCGTATGTTATTAAAACATTTTAAATGCCATATTCTGTAGGTCTTTGAAGTATTTGAAAATCACCTATCTAAAATATATCTCTGTATGACCTTGAAAACACACCTAACATGACTATGAGTTTGTTTGTCATAGATGATTATTAACCTTAATTTTTTATTATCCTAAGTAGCATTCAAGGACTAAAACTTTACATTACACTTTTAAATGAACTACATAGGTACAATACCTTAAACAAGAGTAGAAACATATACACAGTACAAAAATAACCTTAAATTTGTAAATATACAAAAATCTGTATCAATGTAAAATATTTGAGACTAATAGTTGTTCAAAGGTAGACTGGTCAATCTACCCTCTTATCCCATCATTTCTACAATATATCTTCCTTCTTTCGCCTTCAAAAAGAAATCCCTGAATCTCATCTCCTTTGTTCTGCTTTTTTCCTGATCATGACCAATAACAACTTGTACCCAACCTCCCTAAATGATGACAAATATCCATAACCCACTGGATGACCAAAAACCACCCACCCTACCTCTTGGGAATGTGGATGTTGTGATCTCTAGATTGCTCCCTGTTGTCTGGGAGTGATGGCATCTTTGGGGAACCCTTAGAAAATTAGGATAATGGTCAAGACCTGGGAGAGCTGGCTGTACCATTAGTTGTCCAGTTTCTGTGCAATGGGCTTATCTGTAGTTCTGGCTAGAATATTCTGTGAGGCTGAACCATATCAGCCAGCAGCCTTGAAGCTGTTCTGGATACAAAATTGTGAGAAAACTTCAATAAAGGCACTCTTAAGAGACTGGATCTCCTGGGCCAGCCTTTTTTATTGGTGTCAGGTCCCCTTGCTCTGAAAAAACACAAACTTTCAAAGGTAACATACATATCTGCATTAACACAAGCATGGACTGTGCATTGTACACAACTCAGCCAAAGATAAATTTTTATGTTTGAGCAGGTAAAATATACATAACCTGTCTTGTAGTTTTTCAAGGTTTATTTCTTTTTGTCTGTAGCCAGGATTTTCAGGGGGGCTCTCCCGATCAAATCTGATCTCTATCAACCTTAAATGAATCCACAGCCTTTCATTTCCTGTGGAAACAAAAGCATAACATTTTCCCCAAGGTAAGACTTTTTTTGGCTTCCATTTTAAAGTTAAAGCATTCCTAAAGTATATAGTTTGGTTTAATTTCACAGTCCCTTTCATAATCCAATGTCTCTCAGCAGCTGTTGTCTGTTCATTAGCATTCAAAAAAATCAGAATTAATAAAGCACTATAGAAGATCCCAAATCCCTGAGTTGTAATATTTCCCTTCCTTACATGGCTTATCATTTACTTTTTAATCACTTTACTACTCTCTTTAAAGATTCTATTATTTTTTAAACTATTTTTTAAGACTGTCTATATCCTTTTTCTTTTTTTCTTAAGCCTACATACATTGTTAAACACACTGTAACCTGTTTAGAGGGTTTTTCCATTTGAACTTGCTTTACTGCATATCTGTAACCTTTTCTGTCTGCATGAGCAAAACTTTACATCACTATGCAACTTAGCTCATAGCACTGGCAGCTCAATCCCACAGGCAGTGGCCAGAAGATACGTCTCTGTACTGTGACCCTCATGAGAGACTTCGAGACTAGGAAGCCACATTTGGCTCCATTTTTGTGTGTTTGGAACCTTTTTTTAAGCATTCTTGGGTCTTATGTGAAAATACTTACCCCACATTTGGTGTCATTTGTAGTCAAACTTTTTTGTTGGTGCAGTTGACTCAGAGACTTGTTCATAATGAAAGCTCAGCAAATAGCTTAGGCTTGTTTCTAACTAGCTCTTATAACTTATTAAACCATTTTATTAATTTACTTTCTACCTTGTGGCTTTATTACTTCATCTCCATATTGCCGATCCTGCTTGCCCTATGTCTCTTGGTGACTTCTCCTTTCTTCTTCCCACAGCTCTCTGTTCCCAGAATTGCTGCCTGTACCTCCTGCCTAGCTATTGACCACTCAGCTCTTTATTAAACCAATCACAGTGACACATCTTCACACAATGTAAAGGAATATTCCACAACAGAAATGCCCTGGCTTTAAAAAGACGTTTGTGGAAGACTATATCCATTTGCTAGACCTTCCATTACAGAATTCCACAAACCAGGAGGCTTGGACAACAAAAATGTATTTTCTCATCATCCTGAAAGCTGAAAGTCTAAGATCAAGGTGTCTGGGGGTTGGATTTGTTCTGATACCTCTCTCTGTGGATTGCAGATGGTCTTGCTGCCTCTGCAAGGTCTTTATCTCCTCTTTTTAAGGGAATGTTGATTAGATAGGTTAGGGCCCGACCTTAGGACTGTATCTTCAGTCAGAAAGCAGGAAAAGATGGGTGCTATTCTTAGTGCTTTTACATTTTTATGTAGTCTGTGCCCTCAGCCCACATCTAGCATGGCTCTTTCTTTCTCAGTTAATCGTCTCAGGGAACACCCTCAGAGACATACCCAGAGTTGTGTCTCCTAGGTAACTCTAAAATCCAAACTAGCATGCCTGGCAGAGTGGCCCACACCTTTAGTCCCAACACTTGGGAGGCAGAAAGAGGCAGATCTCTGTGAATTCAAGGCCAGCCTGATCTACATAGTGAGTTCCAGAACAGCCAGGGCTACATAGTCAGACTGTGAGACCCTATCCCAAAAATAAAACAACAACAAAAAAGAAAAAACACCAATACTTTGTTTTGTGTGTAATGAGGTAAATAAAATATGTTGGTTAATGTCATGTGAACTTGACACAAGCTAGAGTCAGTTGGGAAGAGAGAGACTCTCAGTTGGGATAATACTTTTATAAGATTGGCCTACGGGACATTCTCTTGATTAGTGATTGATAGGGGGTAGCTCACTGTGAGCAGTATCTCCCCTGGGCAAATGGGCCTAGGTGGTATGAAAAAGCAGGCTGAGAAAGCCATGAAGAACAAGCCAGTAAGCAGCATTCCTCCAAGACCTGTGCATCAGTTCCTGCCTCCAGGCTCCTGCCTTGAGTTCCTGCCCTGACTTCCCTCTGTGATAGAATGTGACCCGAGAGATATCAGATGAAATGAGCCCTTTCTCCTCTAAGTTGCTTTTGGTCATGGAGTTTCATCACAGCAATAGAAACCCGAATTTCGATGTTAGGCTAAAATAAAATCAAGGGTTAAAGTGATGAGACTATTCACAAGATTTTTTTTTAATTTTTTACACATATATAATGTGCATAAAACTTACTTTACTCAGGAGTGCTCAAAATACACTTGCATTAGAAAATAAAACTTAAGGAGAGAAGGCAATGATTGAGTCCAGGAAAGGAACAGGTCCCCACCCTAGAAGTCTGACTAGGAACTGTATGGGGAATTGTTTCTTCCTCAGGAATGGGCCTCTTGGGAGCATCCATGTGGGCCTCATGAACCGGTGACCGAATGCAGACCTCTACATCATGAGTATAGCAGGTGGTTAAAATGATGCATCCATCCTAACAAGTTAGTCAAAGGACAGGTAAGGGCCCTCTCTTGTCCTTCTGCCACTACATCGTCCCTTTCCCAACCAGTCCTTCTACTCTCAGTGTGCGTGAGTGTAAGAGTGTGTGTGTATGTGTGTGTGTGTGTGTGTGTGTGTGTGTGTGTGTGTGTGTGTGTGTGTGAGAGAGAGAGAGAGAGAGAGAGAGATTAGGGCTGTTTACAGGAGCATGGGTAATTTACCAGCAGATAATTCCCCAGGAAGGGATGGGGGTCCCATGAAGCTTTCCCTTTTCCATGGCAGGGTGTTGACAGGCTCGATTTTGAGAAGATCTTGAACAGCCAATCACAACCACCATGAGTTCAAGTATGCAACAGCCATCTCATGTTCAGAAATCAGCATCTGACGCCACAACCCCAATTCTCTCATCTCTTCCTTTCTTTCCTTTTCTTCCATGGTATTCCCTGAGCCTTGGACAGGATGATGCAGATGTCCTATTTATGGCTGGACATTTACCAGACATTTATCCCCTGTGCTTTGATCAGTTATGAGTCTGCCATCACCACTGACCAATAAACAATAAAGTTCTCTGACCAAAGCTGACAGTATCACTAACGTGCGGGCATAAACAGAGTTATTTAGAAGGCAATTTGATAGGCACATTATGTTCATTTAAAAAAATAATAATAGCAGCAGCAGCAACAGCTTCCCTGCCAGGACCTTTAGCCTCCCTAAACATGATCTTTTGACCCGCTTTACAGTACCAGATGTGGATTCCCTCTTGTAAAGCAGGCATCAAATCCAATGAGAAATCATTTGGTTACTCCACAACAGACTTGCCACTGTGGTACCAGTTGGATCATCTTGTATGGCTGGTCAATACTGCACCAAATATTGCACCAAATGTCCATAGTTTAGTAAGACTGTTGATAATGATTCTTCCCCAGCAACATAGCCAACAGGAAAGCATCTTCCTGCCAAGTTTCAGCTTGAGTTCTCTATTTCCTGTGACCAAAGTATGTGGCAACTTCAGGAATAGGGTCTTACTCTTTAGCTTGGTAAATAACCAACAGCAATGTCATAGTCTGCCTTGTGTGTGGGGCCCTTAGGAATCTCCCTGACAGACAACCCATAGGAAAGTAGTCCACCTCTGGTATTGGGGTTTTAAATAACCTATGGCTTCTAAAAGCATTTTTATCCACCCATACAGGTGCTAGCATATTTTTTAATTGGCATTGCTTCTGTGCTAAGCAATGAGATTGCAAAGAGAATCATTCATTGCAAGGCTCTCTGTTCAAGGAATTTACAGTCTTAGAAAGAGAGGAGAGAGAGTGAGAGAGACAGAGAGATGGAGACAGAGAGACACAGAGACACAGAGAGACAGAGAAAGAGAGACAAAGAGAGTGAAAATATTGAATTATCACAAGACACAAAGATTGTTATTACAGAGGAATGGACAAAGTTGGATGGGAATATAGACGATAGAGCCAGGGGGTAAGAGGAAGGCTTTCATATGATAGGGTGACACTGAGAGCCAAAGAATGAGTGAGCCAGGATGAAAGAAATATCAGAGCAGAAGACAATGGAGGAAGAGGGTACTGAGAGTCTGGTCATCAAGTGCTGGCTGTGTCAAGGGCAGGATGTGGGCAGAATGGAGAAGAACAGGAGTAAAATAGGAGAGGTTCACTACACGTTAGAGAGAAGTAGGGAAACATTGACATTGGTAGGTTTCTTTTGCCCCATTTCGAGTAAGCTTGGGACCTGGGGTGAGTCTCACCTGGTGGAATTTTAGGCTATGTTGTTATTGTTACTGTTCATATTATTTCTATTTTGGAGCCATCAATGTGGTGGTGAGGCAGAGCCAGGTAACACATTCTGAGCAGACAGCATGGAATCATGGGAGCCAGCAGCGCTCTGCTCTGTGCTTTAAGCTGGACTGCCAGCAACCAACAAGAGAGTGTGCTTCCCTTTGCAAAAGAGGAAAGCAAATGGTCATACCATGTACCTTTTCTGCTTTAGGACTTGGAAAGCCAACTGCAAGGTTTTGGAAAACATTGTGGAAGATGGAAGTTGTCAGGAATATTCAGTAATTACTGGAAGTTTTCAAATGCAAAGGTTTCTGCCAACATGAAAGTGTCTACCTCTGACATATTAGGTGACAAAATAATGATTCTTTTAATTTAATTGCAGCAGAAATAGGCCAGTGTTAATCAGTCCCTGTAGGTGAAGTTTTAGGGGCAATGTTGTGGAGTAGAGCTAGCATACTGTTTCCTGTGTTCAGTCCCACATGTATCAGACCCTCTTCTTTACTATACTCCAACCCACCTCTGTGTATTCCTTGTGTCAATGATAAGATAGCAATGGGAGATTTATAGAAACCAAAATTATTCTGCTATGCTTTGCTGCCTCCACTGCTGAAAAATATCATCGTAATTTCAGCTACCAGCATTTAACAAAATTTTCCATAGTGGGATTACAAATTCCCAGAAATACTGAAAGCAAGTTACACAACTAGTACATGCCACTGTTGCATATTTTAAAACTATTAAGATAAGTAAATAAATAATAAGATGAATAAATAAGATAAATAATAAAACCAGTAAGATAATGCAGTCCCAGAAGGTAGTTGGTTGAAAAAATATATAGCTTAAGAAATAAGTGAAAAGTAGCATTCAACATTTTTACAATGTGAAGTGGTTTTCTAAGATCCTCAGCAATAGCTCAGGGTTATGTTTACAGTGGGAAGACAGACGGCAGAGAAGAGGGTCAGGCAAGGAGCCGGATCACGTGCCTCAATCCCACTTCTATCACTTGCCGGCTAGTCACCACACAGTCCTCATCTGAAAAATTAAAATAACATTGGAGGCCGGGGAAGTAGCTCATTCAGAAAAGCTTCAAGACATGAGTCCCAGTGCCTAGTGTCCCCATAAATATTCAGACATGGTTTGTGCATGCCTATAATCCCTTTCTAGCCAGCCACTCTAGGTGATTTGGTGAACTCCAAGTCCAATGAGAGGCCCTGTCTGAAAAAAATTAAGGCAGAGATCAAATGAAGAGGACATCTGTTGGTAACATCTGACCTCCATACTCATGCATACATACATACAAAATATTATACAAAGTGTGTACATATATATATATATGCATATACACACACACATGCACATGCACACACATGCATGCACACACACATGCATGCACGCACACACACATGCATGCACACACTCATTGCCACTAGTGGCTCTTGGAATCTGGGAGATAACTTCACCAATGATCTTGGAAGGGAGCACTAAAACTAATGTTGATTTCTGCTTATGAACCAGAAAGTTCTAGAAATTCTAACTCAGTCACCTGGCAGTGGGGGTGCCTGTGACACCATGTAGTTTCATTCCTTGGTATTATCTGTATCAACTACTGTATTTCAAAACTAAAGTCGATTATCGTTATTATGTCTACATAACAAATTACTCCGGACTTAATGGCTTAAGACAACGTTTAATTTGCATGTAGGTCTACAATCTGAACAGGGTTTGGCAAAGCTTGCACCCCTCTCTTGGATTGGATCTCTGTAGCTGGAGTTTTCTCCAGTCCCACTCAGGCTCACAGCCTCTCAGACCTAAACACACAGAGACTTGTATTACTTCTTGTAGAGGCTTCTTGCTATCTAGTTCTTATATCTTAAATTAACCCATTTCTATTTATCTATAAATTGCCACGTGGCTTGTGACTTACTGGTACTTTACATCTTGCTTCTCATGGCAGCAGTGACTGGGAGCATCTCCTGACTTAGCTTTCCACTTCCCAGAATTCTCCTCTCTGCTTACCCCGCCTATACTATACTTCCTGCCTGGCTACTGGCCAATCAGCATTTTATTTATCAATCAATCAGAGCAACACATTCACAGCAAACAAAAAGACATCCCCATCACTTCCCCCCCCCTTTTTTTTTCAAAAAGGAAGGTTTTAACTTTAACATAGTAAAATTACATATAACAAAACAATTATCAAACAAGAATTATAGTTATAATATCTAGCCTATTTATAATATCTAGTCTACTTGTATTTGGCAAAATTAAAGAAAATATCCAATGTATCTTATATTTGTGAGTCTAAGACTTTATATCTAACTTATCTTTTATGATAACTAAGGAAGTTATAACTATCTAGTCTTCAACTACATCAAAGACTTCAGGAGGATATAATATTACTGGCCCATGTTAGGCGCCAGATATAGGTGGAAGTATTAAGGCAACTCAACATAGTTAAAAGAGAGGTTTATTTTGTGGGGTAACTTACAAGTAAAGGGATAGGTTACAGAGTCCGAGAAAGGTGTAGTGCAGTCCAGTGGTGCTCTCTGGAGAACGCTGCTCAGTCTACCTCCAGCATCCAGGATCTAGGAACCCAGAGTCAGCAGATCCGGATCTCAGGTCTTAAGTGCTCCTGTCTCGGCCCCGCCTCGTAGGTGTGACAGTTATTGGAAGCCTCAATGGGTGTAGTACTTTCAGGACAAAGCTGGAACAGCTACCCACTACAGACCTCAGTCGAGACAACCCAAAAGATGGCCTTGGAATCTTTTCCAAAGTGTGCTCACTGATTTTGGTGACCTAAGGTGGCTGTGGGAACTGGGAAAGGCAAGGACACTTTGTGTGCGGCCTTGCCTCA